ATAATACCTCATTGTTCGCGAAGCTGTACTTCATCTGTTGTTTCCTTAACATGTTTTGTTTTTACCAATCAACCTCAGATATCATATGGTCCAAGCATTTCACAAAATAATATTTTTTATCCTATTTTTAAATTATAGTGCCATTAAGCACACAGAAGTTACTGTAATACACACTCGCACACTTTGGTCCAATAACATGCTATCCAAATCTAAATGATTTGAAAATTTGGATAATTTCAAATGAGACAATAAAAATTAATGCTTGATTGAAGGTAAGCTTGCACAAATATTATTATTACGAGAATTCGAAACTGGAGTATTTCCTTTTGAGTCAGCTGTCACCATATGTTGTGCAATATTAACATTTATCATATAATTACCTTTATAAAATTTTTGATATATAACGCGCGCTCTGATTGGCTGACGAACGTGTTTATATCAGAGGACAGAGACACGGCTTACCGGCAAAATTTTCTTTTCGSTCGAAAAATTTTRTAAAAGAAATAKAAAACGGCCGCTTGTGTCTCTGTCTTCTGATATAAACACGGTGGGAGCTGAAAAACACTTGAGAAGCAAGAGAAACACTGGCTACGCTCATGTTCCTAAGCTTGCTTCTCTCGTGTTTTTTGAACTCCCACCATGTTTATATCAGAGGACAGAGACACGCGCGCCGTTTTATATTTCTTAAATAAAATGCATACATACATAATTTGCTTTCATTGACAATTATATGATAAACAGAACAGCATGGGCACGTGAATATAGGGTTTCGAATATAGAAATTTTCTTTTCAAGCGTTGAAAAAAATTTCTCACGAGTAAGCATAGCGAATAATATCAGTTCAGTTCTTAACTCGTTGCACTTAATGGATATCTATATTCATATGTACAGTATAAAAAATCATATATGCATGATAAAAGGTCAACTATGAATATGCGCATAATTCCATCATGAAAAATGTTCTGACAATATATCTCAAGATCTCAATCCCCCCTGACGAACTGGAGCTTAAATTCACATAATTAATTCATTAATTATGTAATGACAACCATCATTTAGTATCATTATGTAGAAGGGTATTTCTCGATAGAAATAGCTGGAAATAGACATGGAGACTCCCAAGTTTTTTCACCTTATGTTAGCATTTACACTTGGCACCCAAAACAAAAGAACCCAACTAGTTGTTAACCCAAATGCCCCTGGGTACCTCTATCTTATTTAGATACCAAATTCACATTGTAGCTATATTCATAAACTCTAGACAATACTGAATTTAATCGCCCCATGTAAGATATTCAGATCTTAGACATCCTCCCATAAAAACGTTTATACTATATCAAGCCCAGATGACAGATCTCTGCATCTGAGCTGCCCCCTCCCCTCCCCCAACGTATTTTAAAGCACTAAGTCACGCACTAAAACCGCAAAAAGTCTTTCCTTTAGATTAAATGGTAAAATTAAAAATATTGAATGAAAAATAAAATAGGAATATAATAAAAATAACAATTATACTACCGCAGCATTTGCGAAGCCAATTTGTATCTGTCATTTGCTTCGTGTTTTGGTTTTTGCGCCGTGCATACATTATCACACTATTATAAATACGTCGTGCAAGCATTTCACGAATTTCACTTCTGACTACAGCGCGTGAAAAAAGTTCTTGATTCAGTTCAGCTGGCCTCAGCAGAACTACGGTCAAAAGCCAAAAGATTGAAACTGTAAGATTACAAATAAGCAGACAATTGAAGCGCGCATGCGACATCGAAATTTTGTCTTGAAAAACAGGCAAGTAGAGTCATAAAAATCAACCAAAAATAATAATGGCAATTGGTCTAAGCATTAAATAAAGATTTCTTACCTTTTTACGAAGTGATAAGGACGAAAAACGCTTTATATTTTCAAAAATTTTGCCTGTGTGCTGAGCAGAGATATTCTCGCCGCTCGTCTTCGATCGAATTGCGAAGTGTAGTGATCGAATGGTTGGGCGGACCAGCCTTAGACCAGTTTGCCAAACAGGTTTTACAAGTACGTGTTTGTGATCATGTCTAGTCTACGTCATGACACGTGCACTCGTGCTTCGTCTCACGACAATATGACGTGTGACACGATGTGACGTATTCCTAGTCTATCAAAACGACACAGGTAGCCCGCATTGTAACAAAAAAAACAAGCGAAAGGAGGGAAGAAGGGAAAGRAGCAGAGAAGGTAGAGCAGAAAGCCGAATTTCAAGCCGTAATCAATGCGTTTTCGTRCAGCTTTAATTTTGTTGTTTCCATTTCCTTGAATTGAGACGAAGAACTTCGACAATGAAACTCTACAAATACTTTGGACGATACATGTGAAAAAAAAGAAGATTCCTCCTCGATCTTTTTATTTATGATTCAACAGCCCTATATAGCTATAGAGAAGCTAGCTAAACCTTCCTTGATTTTATATAGCAAAAAACTGATTGGAAAGTGGGTACCCTGTGATACACAGTTCCTCACCCTACCCCTAGTAGGAAATTTTAGGCAGTAAAAGAGCAATTCGTTCTGCAAGGGAAATCTCTGTACATCTCAAGGAAAGTTATGATAAGCTTATGATATTTAGATATTTAGACAATTCTCATAATTTTTGCAAAAGGCTGTATAAATATAAATATAAATATAAATATAAATATAAATATAAATATAAATATAAATATAAATATAAATATAAATATAAATATAAATATACAGCTGATTGCAATAATTCCCCTCTGCCATATTTCATATATATCAAACTGACCTTTAATATTATGGGATATCATGACTGATATATTTTCTGAATTATTGCAAACAGCTGTAAATATAAATATAAATATAAATATAAATACAGCCTTTTGCAAAAATTATGAGAATTGTCTAAATATCTAAATATCATAATATCTATATCCATATATTGTCCGGAACACGCGGGTTTGCTAGAATAATTCATTGTTGACATCCAGAAAATGTTCAGAACTACGGATAAGTCTGTCGCCAAAAAAAAAACTAAACTACAAAGACAAGGGACTAAGGGCATCGCGCGGGATTACCCATCATGCACWBGAYATTATGATATTTMGATATTTCAACAATTCTCATAATTTTTGCAAAAGTCTGTATAAATATAAATATAAATTGAATAAATTGAAGAAAAAGGCACACAACTTGCAACTATTATTCCTACTCTTTATTTGAACGTTTCGGCACTTCGGCCTTCTTCAGCAATAATTCTGACCCCCCTACACTAATATTCATATATATCAAAATAGCCTTAGAAATTATGGGATACCATTGCTGATATTTTTTTTAGAAAGTACTCATTCTGGACAACTCAAAAAATATATCAGTCATGATATCCCATAATATTAAAGGTCAGTTTGATATATATGAAATATGGCAGAGGGGGTCAGAATTATTGCAAACAGCTGTAT